AAAAAATTATGAACGGATATTATCACCATACATAAATTTTGTAGGAGTTGTAAGTTTTAAAAAACTCTGTATAACACAAAAATGTGTAGATTGAAAGCAAGAGTCCACACCCCAAAAATAATCAAAATCGAATAATACGTATTCGAGTTATTTACAAAATTCAAAAAATTTTCACGAACTTTCGCGATTTTGGATATAGGTGAATTAGCCTAAATCTGCCTATTTTGAGTCCACGAGTCTGTGGTCTCCCGTTGTACACGTTATTCTGGAACACCCTTTATATTTATATAAAATTTGAATACGTTTTGATTTGATTCTAAAAAAAAGGTCACGGGTGGGCACCGGGCTTTCTGGGATGAGCTGTGCATAAACCCTGCCCTCCCCTAGCTACGCCCATGTACATAATATTTTGAAGCTGTCTGCAAAAGTATATACAGGGTGGCCAAATGAAAACGAAACAGAGCCATTTTCAGGAACTGCGTCAAGATTGTAGAAAACCGCTCAGACCCGTCGATTTTAGATTAAAGGGGGACATTCTTTGCAGGTATTTTTGACTCGGCCACTTTCATCCCCAAGCAATATTTAAATGGCATTGGGGGTTGAGTAATATTTCTTTTGAAAGCTCTTACAATTCTCTTTACAACAGACTTTAAATTTTATAATTCCGCCTAATATTTTGAAAAAAATTTACATTTTAAAATTTAAGTTATGTTTAGTTGCTTACTTACTACTTAGTTGATTAAACGTTCAAATTGATGACCGCCCGCTTCCATACAAGAATAAAGATTTTGTTCGAAACGTTCGCGTTCATTCCGAAGTATTTTTGGAGTGATTCGACGGCATTCGTCGACGATTCTTTGACGCAAATCTTTCAGCGACGCTGGCTGTGTTTTATAGATTTTAGTTTTTAGGTATCCCCACAAAAAGAAATCAAGGGGCAATAAATCCGGGGATCGTGGAGGCCACTCAATACTGCCTCTTCTCCCAATCCAATTCCGTAGAAAACGTTGCTCCAAATACTGACGGACAATTAACGCATAATGCGAAAGAGCACCGTCCTGTTGAAAAATGAAATGATCTTCATCATACTCTGGAATATTTTCAATAATATCAGTCAAGGCAGGATCAATAGCGTCTTCCAGTAATTGCAAATACATTTGGCCAGTCAAATTACCAAGTAGAAAAAAAGGACTGTGTATGCACCCCGTGAAAAACTCTTGGGTTTGAATCGGACCAATAGCGGCAATTGTGACGATTTAGCGTCCCGTTCAAGAAAAAACTGCATTCATCAGAAAAACAGATGTTAAAAAGGAACTGTGGATCGTTCCCTGCTCGCTCACTCATTATTTCGCAAAATTGCAAGGGCGGCAGTCATAATCATCTTCATGAAGTTCCTGGACTAAATGTATTTTGTAGGGATGGAATTTATTCTTCTTCAAAATGGTTTGTTTGCTAGTTCGATTGATCCCAGACATAGATGCCAGCTGCGTCGTACTTAATGTTAAAACTGCAGCTTCACTAGCTGCATTAACTATAGGTTTTTCAATTTCTCGTTTTTTATTGGCTACTTTCCCTGTCTCTTGAAATTTTTTTACTAACTCTAGAACATACTTCCTTCTGACATGTCGATCTTGATGTTGTTCATTAAATAGCTGAGCTGTTCTATTCGCACATTTATTGTTCATAAAGTAAAGCGAAATGATATCTACCCTTTCCGCAATGGAATAAACCATAGTGTTTAGTTTTCAAAAACACAATTAAATAAAGTAACAACCAACGCTTCAAAATAATATTAGAAAATAATATGGAATCCACTAATTTTACGTTCATTGTCTGCGTATAGCATTCAGTTCTGTTTTTACAATTGTATTTTTTTACGAAAGGGATAACACATCGCCAAAAACCAATGGAACGCAAGAAATACTAAATTTATACCATTGGCGTACTTAACTCGAATGACTGACATTTTTACCGTTACTAATTGTTTGTACATAAGTTTCAACTTTAAAATAGAAATTCTTAATAAGTATTGGGCGGTATTATAAAATTTAAAGTCTGCTATAAAGAGAATTGTAAGAGCTTTCAAAAGAAATGTTACTCAACCCCCAATGCCATTTAAATGTTTTGGGGTGATGCTTACCCTTGCTTGGGGGTGAAAGTGGCGGAGTCACCCTTTAATCTAAAATCAACGGGTCTGAGCGTTTTTCTACAATCTTGACGCACTTCCTGAAAATGGCTTTGTTTCGTTTTCATTTGGCCACCCTGTATAT